TTCATGCAGAAGACTTCATTTTAATGCAATTGACATTAAGATGATTGCACATGCGTTTCTATCTCTATATATCAGATTATTACTAGTCACAGTCGGTTACTTTCTGAGCTCCTTGGCATCTGAGCATGGATATAAAGTCATCAGGTAGATTTCAATAATAATGTTTTTCACATCTACTAATTATTAAGGAGCAAATTTTTATGCTTTGAAGAATTATTATTTTTTAATCATTATACTTTTTAAATTTTTAATAACTACATGATTAGAAGCTTTTCACTACAGCTTTAACATATTCAGTAACACACTCCAGAGCAACAGTACATCTCTTTCACAAGTGGGTGCAAGTTTCTAGGTTCGCAGTTGAATTAATATAGTTATATATTATTGAACTCAGTATAAGCCCTGCAAGAAATAAAATTGGATGGGTTTTTAACCTTTAAAAAAGATCTCCATTTCATTTTATAATATATTGTTCCTTGCAGACAGACTCATTGTTTTCGCTACTAACACTGAGATGTTGGTGCGTGCGTCTCTAATCTGTATTTAATATTGGGTTTGCAAACACTCGCTGCGCTCATTGAAGAGAACGTGGAGGAAGAGCGTGACTGATAAACACCTCAAGAAACTGATGTATGTTGTTGTGCCTTGTCGTTGCTGGTCCTCCCCCTGCCCTCTCCACCTCCTGTCCCCTCTGCTGCTTCTCTCTGCCCCCCTTCTGCTTCTGTGTCACAAGTGTGTCATTATCCTCTTTTTTCTGTTCTCCCCTTCCCTTGAGATCTCTTCCTCCCCAGTCACAGCCCCCTTTCCACTCTGTGCACTTCCCAAGCACATGCACACACCCACCACACACAGATATACAGACACAGACACACACACACAGACACACACACACACACACAGACACACACGAGCATGCACAGGCATGTTACTCACACAGACACGTGGACACACCGAAAATTTAAATCTAGATTTCATTCATGAGAGGAAAAAAATGAAACATTTGATTATCTGAGTTTGGTTTATTTCACTTCACATGATCTCTAGATCCAACCATTTTCCTGTAAATGTATGATCTCATCTTTTATGGATAAGCAGTACCCACCACCTATTCCCATCCATTCACCTGGTAATGGGCATCTGGACTAGTTCCACTTCTTGGATACTGTGGCTGGTACATGGAAGTGTAAGTGTCTCTAGGGGATGTTGACTCATGCGTTAGCTACTTTCCTGTTGCTGTGGTAAAACACCATGACTAAGGCAACTTATAGAAAGAAGAATTTATTTGGTTTATGATTGTAGAGGAATCAGAGTCCATCATGGTAAGGGAGGCATGCCAGTAGATCCCTGGAGCAGAAAGCTGAACTCTCACGTCTTCCAGCATGCACAGGAAGCAGAGAGAATGAAATTGGAAATGGAGCAAAGCTACGAACTTTCAAAGTCTGCCCCAGTGACATGCATCCTCTAGCAAGGCTACACCTCCTAAACTTTTGAAAACAGCACTAATAACTAGGGCCAAGTGTTCAAATACTTAGAGCCTATGGAGAATGTCTTCATTCAAACCATCACAACCGAGGCATGGTATAACTATGTCATACGATAGTTCTATTTTTAGTGAAAAATTTTACTGGCATGTATTGACATATAATAACGGGTTTCACTATGTACACAGTGTATTTTGATCATATTCTCTCTTTGTTCTTCTCTCTTGTTCTTCTTCCACTTCTGATAATCCCCTTCCTCTTCCCAACTAGTCCCTTAGTTTTAGTTTTTGAGGCGCTTCCACGCTGATTTCTACAGTGGCTGTGTGAGTTTCCTTTCCCACAGAGGTGTAGAAGTGTTCCTCTTCCCCCACATCCTCAACATTTGTTGTCATTTATTTTCTTTCTTTTAAAAAAATGATTTTTATTTCATGTTTCAGAGTACTATGCCTGCATGTGTGTACGTGCACCCATGTTGTGCAGTGCCTGCAGAGGACAGAAGAGGGCGTCAGATCCCCTGAACCTGGAGGTACCACTGAGCCATCTTTCCAGTCTATCATTTGTTTTCTTGATGATAGTCATTCTGACTGGGATGAGATGGAATCTCAGAGTAAATAACTTGTATTTACCTGATGGGTAAGGATGTTGCACACCTTTTCAAATACATGTTGGCTATTTGTGTTTCTTTTTTGAGAACCATCTATGCAGTTCATTGGTTTACTTATTGATGGGTTGATTTGTATTTTATTTTTAGTGTTCTTTATAGATTTTTAGATATGGTATTGGCACAAAATCAGACATGCAGACTAGAACAGCAGACTGACAAACAAATTCACATGGCTGCAGACCCCTAACCTTATACAAATGCATCAAAAGCCTACATTGAATAAAAGAAAATCTCTTTAGCAAATGATACTAATAAAACTGGATATTCGTATGTATAGGAACAAAGTTAGATTCACATCTTACTCTATTAAAATCAGTTCAAAATAGATCAATAGACTTAATGAAAGATTGAAATGTTAGAACTGTGAGAGGAAAATATAGACAAAACACTTCAAGATTAAGAATAGAGAAAGGCTTTCTGAAAGGGAGCTAATAGCAAAGAATCAACCCTAATAGTTGACAAATTGGACCATATGAAATTAAAAAGCTTTTTCATAGCAAAGGAATCAGTCAGCAGAATGAAGAGGAAGCCTACAGAATGGAAAATCCTTTTGGCAACTATGTATCAGGCAGGGAATTAATATCTAGAATGTATAAAGAACTCCAGAAATCAGAATATTGAAGTGATGTCATCTCCCCGTGCCCATGGCATCAATAGAAACCATAGTAAAGGCGTGGGAACAACCCAGATTTCCATCAAGAAATGAGTGGACTAAAACTGTGCTGTATACATACATGGTGACAGTACTCAGACAGGAAGGAAATCCACCTACTTGTGATAGTGTGTATGAATCTTGAGGACACTATTCTAAATGAAGTAAGCCAGCCACAGTAAGTCACAGGGACATGATTTCACTTATATGACATATATAAAATTGCAACGGACCAGCCCAGACCGGAACACTCAGTCCTACGGGAACAGGGAATCGGAGAGTGGGCAAGGATTCGGCGAGTGACAAACAGACACAACACAAGAGATGGTTGGTGATCTGAATGTAATTTTCTAAAGTGGAGCATCAGATTTTATACAAGTTACAGAACAAGATTGTGCAAGCATCAGGTTGATTTCATGGTTAATTATTTTGTTAGAAATACAATTCAAAATCAAAGCAACACAGTACAGTGTAGAGTGTTCTTATCTAATAAATCCGCTGCTTAGACTATTTGTCCTTTTCCCTTAGTGGTTTGGCGACATCAGCTACTTATAAATTTCATGGTTGGTAATTTTATGGTTCTGTTTTCTCAATTTTATTTTACTTCTGAGGTTTCGGTGGCCGAAGCCAATGACTAGGTCCGTGAAGTTATAATAACTCCATATAACTTTGAGAACATATTTTTATACTGTCTTTTTATGTTTTTTATACTGCCTGTAATTGTTCAAGTATACTTTGCTATGCTGACTTGTAGTAAAGGCACTAAGGTGGTCTGGATCTAGCTAACCTATCCATAAACTATAATGAATACCATGAAACTTTCCTTCCTTGAATATTTACCCATCTATTATTTCCTTTATAAACTCCTGTATGAGGAAGTGGTTCATCAGTGGGCTCGGGGATTTTAAATATGTTCTCCTTTCCCTTCAGGGGATGCCATAGCCTACCTCCTCCTAGCTCGTAGGCAATTCTAAGGTCTATCTTGACTGTAGGCAGCAATCTTCTTTTAGTATCCCTTTGATCTCATTGAGTCAACTCTAGGGACTGAAGCAAAGGGATTATATACAAATAATTCTTGCTGTAACTTATCTAGAATTTTCCAAAGTTGCTTATTCTCAGCTGCTTTTCTTATTGCTTGAAACAAGAGAGGAGCATTTGGAGGAAGTCTAATATCGGGTGACTGAGTTCCCAGGAAATCATCCGTATCTAGTCTCTTTATGACCTGAGTAGGTACAAAGCAGTTCCTCTATGAGGAAAGAACAGGAATGAAGACAGCAATAAAGACAAGAACTAAAGCAGAACAGCCAAGGACACAGCATGCTTTTTAACACAGCCATCTCCAAGGAGGCATTCTTCCTTTGAAGTCTTCTCAGCCTCCCCATGGAGAGTTCCTCAGGCGGGGTCCACTGGAGGTGGCGTGACATAAAATCTTCAAATTCAGACAAGAAAAAGATAGAATGTTGGCTCCCAGAGGCCAGGGTAGAAGGGAATGGAGAGCTGTGCATCAGTGGGTGTTAAATTTCAGTATTGCAAAATGAACATCGTCCAGATTTCTGCTGTCAAATATTGCACCTATTATGTGTAACCCAATGACAACTGACTGGACACATAAAGCTACTGAGCAGAGAGTTCTCTTGTCAAATGTTCTCCCAACAGTAAAATAGACACGAACAACTTAGAATGAATCACGGAATAGAATTTATTAAGAATTACAGAGGGCTCCTGTCCCTAGGAAGAGTGAGCAGGAAAGAGAACGTCGAGTACGAGATTCTACAGTGCACTGCAGAGGATAAGGTGGGTTTGAAGATGATGGGTCAGTTGCATAAACCTATGGCATTTTAATGAGTAAAGTGTCTTCCTAAATTATTTAGGGGCAGTAAAGATCTTGGTTTCAGAATTTAAGCACAAACCACATGAAGGATTTATGAAAAGCTCACAAGATTCAGAAGCTCTAAGAAGGGGAATAGAAAAGCACCCTGCTTTCCCTCAGGGAGATTCAGGGGCTCTTAAAACAAAGTGGATGCTGAATGTTATCAGTGTGGATGCTGGTGATAGTCTGGTGGTTACAGAAAAGGTAAGAAGTGAATTTGTGCAGGCACGGCAAGTCAGCAGAAGGAGTTTGGTTGGTCCTTTGGGAAGTTGATCAGCAGCAACAGGGTTGGCAGCAGCTGGTCACACAGGGTGGCTTACAGCAGGTGGTCCTTCAACAAGTGGTTTCACAGCAGGTTGAGGGACAGCAGGGCTGGCAGCAGCTGGATTCGCAGCTGGGCTGGCAGCAGGGTGTGCTGCAGCAGCTGATCACACAGGTTGGTTTATAGCAGGTGGTTCTGCAGCAGGTGGTTTCACAGCAAGTGGGTTGGCAGCAGGGGTGGCAGCAGGGTGTGCTACAGCAGCTGGGGAGGCAGCAGGGTTGGCAGCAGCTGGACTCACAGCAGCTGGGCTGGCAGCAGGGTGTGCTGCAGCACCTGGTCACACAAGTTGGTTTACAGCAGGTGGTCTGGCAGCAGGTGGTTTCACAGCAGGTTGGAGGACAGCAAGGCTGGCAGCAGCTGGGGTGGCAGCAGGGTGCACTACAGCAGCTGGGGATGCAGCAGGGCTGGCAGCAGCTGGTCACACAGGCTGACTTCCAGCAGGTGGTCCTGCAGCAGGTGGTTCTGCAGCAGGTGGGCTGGCAGCAAGGGGAGCAGCAGGAGGTGGTCATAGTGTCAGATGTGGAGGGTGGGGTCCTGCTCACAGGGGAGTTTTCTACAGTACAGTGAGTGTCTCCATCCTGGGCCTTTTATACATCAGGACAACACAGTTTGACCAATCAGTAGGGCTTTCCTTGTTGTTGTTTATATACTATTTCATATTCAGTTTGATGTTGTCTTTCAATGTTATGATTTTTTTCAAAGTAAGTATTTAATACCTTTCTTAACTGAGAGTAACTCATTAGGTAATCTCAGATAAGAGGAAGCTAGTCACACCATCAGCAGCAACTTACTTTGATCATTACCTGATCATATCATCACTCTGGCACCCTGAGAGAGTCTGAGTAGTTGTTCCTTAAAGCTCTGTTCCTTTGACTCTATGTAGATTAGGAAGACTCTGGAGAGAGGTATGATGATGCTCAGTGATGAACTCGAGACTAGCTGACTGTTTACTCAAAAAAAGCTGACTCTGTGCTAGCTCAGGTGTTGGTCTCTGTACCTGCCTATGCGTCCCAGATGTGTCAAAGACAACTTGGGGTGAAGAGGCTGGTGATGTAGTTCAGTTAGTAGGGTGCTTGCTTAGCATGCATGAAGCCCAGGTTTCTATCTCCAGCACTGAATTAACCAGGTATGGTGGCACGTGCCTATAACCCTAGGATTCAGGAAGTGGAGGTGGAGGATTAGAAGTTCAAGGTCGTCCTTGGCTACAGAGTGAGTCTGAAACCAGCTTGGGCTACACTGGACTCTGTCTAGAAAACACAGGCAGTTTGGGAAGCTGTTTGGTACTATCTCCCTATGCCTTCCACAGCAGAGCTGAACCAGAGCAGGTGGGTAGAAGCAGCAGGAGCACATTAGAGTAAGGAGGCCGTATTAGTCACGTCTCTGTTGCTGTGATAAAACACCATGACCAAGGCAACTATTAAAAGGAAGAGTTTGTGGGGTTCACAGTTCCAGAGGGATAAGAGTCCATCACGGTGGAACAGACACAGCAGCAGGCAGCTGGAGCAGACAGTTAAGTGCTAACATCTTCTAGCAGTCAAAGAAAGCAGAGTGAACCATATTGGAAGTGGGCAAGGCTATAAGCACTCAAAGCCTGCCTCAAGTGACTTGCTTCCTGCAGCTAGACTGCACGTGCACTCCTAAACTTCCCCAAACAGTGCCACGATCTGGGGACCAAGTGCTCAAATACTTGGAGCTTCTGGGGGACAGTCTCATTCAAACTGCCACAGAGTTATCAACAGATACGGTGGCCATTTGTTCTGGTTTGCCTAGGTCTAAGACCATACCAGGATGAGCATGCGTGAGTTTTTGTCATACAACTGCTGCAGATCTGGACAAGTCATGGACCAGGTAAATCTAATCCTAACCTTCATTGAAGCAAGGACAGTGTTCTTAGTTCATGATCGTTCTCCGTTTTCTTTCTTTTCTCCTGTTCTGTTCTTTCTCTTCCCTTCTCTCTCTATCTGTTGCCTCACCACTTTCTTTGTTGCAGCTGGACTTGACTTACCGGCTCTATTAAGAAACAGAAATGAACTCCACATTCTACCAACCTTATCCTTTCATTCATTCCCCAAAGGATTTGATTGCTGTGTTGACTTTCAACAATCCAGGCAAACTAGGTCAGTTTTGGCTTTTTTTTCTTTCAATAATTTTCTTCTTGCTGAGTTTAATTTTTGAAGTCACCAACTTTAGAGACTGGGCTAAGCTGTACTGTCAGACGCCCACTGGTATGCTCTAGATAACACTTGTGACATATGAGTTATGTTGTTAGCAGGTGCCCAAGTTCTTTTCCCAGGATGTAGAGGACACCTTTGTCTAGCTCAATGGAGTTGAAACAATTGGCACCTTCACTGGGACTGTAGACTTTTCCAGACAGTGACCTCTTTGAGATCAGGTGGTAGGGAATCATGCCATATCCCAACTTGCTCTAAAATGCTATGTCAGAAAGGACCAAATGGAAATGTTGCTAGTTTTTGATCCCAAACTGGGTCCTTTGTCCTTTAGCATCATAGAACTGATGACAAAATCCAGACTCCACTGCGCTCAGAAGGATTTACTTTTCTCTTGGACAGAGAATAAGGAGAAGAAGGAGAAATGACAGCAAATCAGGCTCCCACCTGAACAAAAGATTCCAGAATAAAGAGATAAAGAGGGAAGCTATTAAATAACAAACAGGAGTATTAGTCACCAAGTTTTTGGGGACGTGGTAGTCTATCTTGAAGGTGGGGGACTCCTATCCTTTAATCTCTGTGAGTTGGTTTGAGTCTAAGTTGGAAGCCGGCTGGAGATGATATAGTTGGCAGGAATTTTGCTAGGGTAATACGATACAATGATATTGTAATGAATCTGGGGTGAATGCAGGTCAGCATGGCGTCCTTTAGGGCTAAACCTGTTTGACCTGGTACATTTCTACATCTTGTTTCTCTGGAACAGTCAAGATCCTGGCTATCTTCATGGCTGGATAGGAAGGTGCAATGTCTGAAACTGAACTGGTTAACAAAAATGATTCCTTCTCAGAGTCCGAGGGGTGCTGACTTGATAACAAACAGAAATACCAGCACTAAGCTGTCCTAAGAAAAGAAATCAAGAAAATTTATATTATCTTTGGCAAGAGGAAGTTAAAAAGAGCCTAATTAGAAGCACAGCCAATTTGTTTTTTAAAATAATTTTTTCTTTGTTATTTTTATTTGATGTGTATGACTGTATTGCCTGCATGTGTGTAAGTGCACCCATGTTGTGCAATGCCTGTGGAGTCAGAAGAGGGCATTGGATTCCCCTGGAACTGGAATTAGGGATGGTTCTTAGTTGCCATGTGGGTGCTGAGAATCGAACTTGGGTCCTCTTCAAGAGCAGCCAGTGCTCTTAACCTCTGAGTCATCTCTCCAGCCCCCAGCATAGCTGATTTGTGCAAAGGTAACTTCAAGAGAAGGAATGACTTCATGATTAGCAGAGCAGATACTTGCTTTATGGAGAATTTTGAGGATTTGTCCAAAGATAATTGGGTGGTTCATCATGGAAGTTTGGAGCTGGGGAATCCTCTTGTGGAAATGTTGGTAGTGCCTAGTTGAACACAAGACGGAAAGGATATCTAAGGATATTCTAATTTACTAGGTACATAATGCATTTTACCCAGATTGCATGGTACGTCATTAAGCATTGAAGTATTATTCAATAACTGCAATATCAGAATACTGTATCTATTAGACAAAGGTGCCTAGAGACAAAGGTGCGGACAAAGACCTGGAGAAGTGAGAAACTTTATATACAGGTGAGAATATAAAATTATATAATACCTATTGGAAAATTTCAAACAATCTTAAAAACAAAGCCAACATATCTCTGTGGTAGGATTTAGAATCCTTTGGGCATATACCTAGGAATGGTTTCTGTGGGTAATATGAAAGTTCTAATTTTTTTTTTGAGAAACCTCCATGCTGATTTCAATAATGGCTAGACTACTTTATAATCCCACCAGCAGTGAATTACTGTTCTTTTCCCAACCTTTTTAAAAAGACAGGATCTCCCTGTAGCCCCAACTGACCTGGAATTGGCTTTGTAGGCCAGGTTGGCCTTGATCTCACAGAGATCAGCTTACCTCAGCCACCAGATCTAGTGGTGGGATTAAAGGCGTGCGTCTACATTCTTTCCCCACGTTCTTATGAGCATTTGTCGTCTTATTTGTTGATGATTCCCTTTGTGTCCGGGTGAGATTGAATCTCAAAGTAGCATTAATTTGCATTTCCTTGAAGTCTAGGGATGTTGAGTAGTCTTGTAGACACTTATTGGCTATTTGTGCTTCTTCTTTTGGGAACTGTCTGCTCTTTTCATTAGTCCAGTTGTTGATTGGCAGTCTTTATTTCAGGTGTTTATTTTTGCAATTCTTTCTATAGTCTAGATATTAATCCCCTGTCTGGATTATAGCTGGTAAAGATTTTCTCTCATTCTTTAGCTGTCTGTTCGCCCTTCTGATAGATTCCTTTGCTGTGCAGGAACTTCCTAATTTCGTGTAGCCCTATCTCTTAGTTCTTGGGGCTAGTTCCTGTGTTATTGGAGTTCTGTTTATGAAATCCAATTCTTTGTTCCTTATCCTTTCCTCTAATAGTTTCAACATTTCAGATTTTAAATTCAGGTCTACATATCCTACTGCAGAGATACTTGTACATCCCTATTTACTGCTGCGCTATTCACAGTGGTAAGGAAATGGATGTGCAGCCTAGATGTCCATCAACAGATGGATGGATAATGAAAACGAGGTACACATACCCAATGGAATTTTATTCACTTGTAAAGAAAACTGCAGGATGAACTTTCCAGCAAAATGGATGGATATGGGAAATTTAATAAGCAAGGTAATCCAGGCTTAGAAATAAAAAATCACGTTATTTCTCATATGTGGATCCTAGCTTATAATGTCTATATGTATAGAGGTGTGTGTGTATGGGGTATAGACTATGAAAGGAGACCACAAGAAATAAAAATACGGTGTTGAGAAGGTGGGGGAGTAGAGCACTAGAACATGTGACATAAAAGGGAAAAGGAGGCTGTGGGGGGGCTGTGGGGGTAGAAGGCACAAAGGGGGCTGTGGGGGTAGAAGGCACAAAGGGGGCTGTGGGGGTAGAAGGCACAAAGGGGGCTGTGGGGGTAGAAGGCACAAAGGGGGCTGTGGGGGTAGAAGGCACAAAGGGGGCTGTGGGGGTAGAAGGCACAAAGGGGGCTGTGGGGGTAGAAGGCACAAAGGGGGCTGTGGGGGTAGAAGGCACAAAGGGGGCTGTGGGGGTAGAAGGCACAAAGGGGGCTGTGGGGGTAGAAGGCACAAAGGGGGCTGTGGGGGTAGAAGGCACAAAGGGGGCTGAAGGGTCAGCGGGTGTGGAAGAGTATGGGGGAGGGGAGTCAACAGATCAAATTTTACCTGAGAATGTCATAAGGAAACCTAAGACTACGTATGCTAATTTAAAATTCTAAAATAAAAAGTAAACACATTTATTTTTTTCAAAAGAAAAGAGACATCACATGGCCCAGCAACCGAACTTTGGAATATTTGTCCAAAATCATTGAAATCAGATTTAAAGAGATAGTAACACAACACCCCCTTTTTACTTGAATTTTTATTGATTCCAGAATTTCATGCTATGTATTTTGATCACGTTCGGACTGCTTCCCGTTAGCCTCCTCCCCACCACGTACCCTCAACTTCACGTCCTCCATTGTTATCTATTCTTTTCTTTTTAAAAAATTTATTTTTTTAAAAAAATTTTTTGTTCTTAAAGGCCTATTGACTTCCAATCTGAGTCTCTCAAGTGCTCCTGGGTGTGGGTTTATGCCCTAGGTCTGCTCAACCTACCAGGTGTCACACCAGTAAGAAAACCTGATTCTCTTCCCAACAGCCATCAGTTGCTAATAGATCCTTAGTTAAGTTTGGGTTTCCTGCTCGTCTCTCCCACCTGTGCTGGGTCCCTGTGTGGCTTGGGTTTGCACAAGCCTTGTACATGTTGTCATAAGCACTGTTGGTTCATATATACAAATACCCTACGATGTCCAGAAAACAGTTCCCATGTATTCACCTATCACCTCTGGATTTTGCAAATAGTTCCATTCTCTCTTCTGCAATGATCCCTGAGCCTTGGGAAAAGAAATGTGATACAGATGTCCCATGTAGGGTCAAACACTCATAGTCTCTTATTCTCTACACTTTGTTTGTTTGTGAGTCTCTGTGTTAATCTCCATCTGCTTCAAGAAGAACCTTGAGAGTTGAGAGATGTACTAATCTGTGGGTCTAACAATAAGTAACTGTGAGACAGTTTAATATGTCTGTTTAGTAGAATGATAGTAGTAGGTTATCCCCAGTGGCCCATGATTTGTTTATCTGCAAGTTCTTCTCTGCTAACACTGTGAGGTATGGACTCCCTGTTGTGAAGTGGACCATGATAGTCAAAAATAATCCTGAATAATAAAATATGCAGGAGGTATCACCATCTCTGATTTCAAATAAATAGTACAGAGCTATGGTTAAAAAAAAGCACAACATTGGAATAAAATCAGACCCAATGATCAGTGGAACAGAATTGAGGACCCAGATGCGAGTTGATGGACTTACAAATACTTGTGTTTTGAAAAAGGGGCCAAAAACGCACATTGGACAAAAGGCAGCATGTTCAACATATGGTGCTGGTCAAACTGATAGCTCCACGTAGATCCCATTTCTCACCCTGCACAAACATCAGCTCCAAATAGATCAACTCCTCAACATAAGACCTGATACTTTGAATCTGACAGAGGAGAAAGTAGGGAATATACTGGAACTTATAGGCAAAGGAGAGGATTTTGTGACCAGTATCTGAATGGTGTAGGCATTAAGTCCAACAATTGACAAAGGTGACCTCATGAAACTAGAAAACTTCTATATAGCAAAGGGTTTGATTGAAGAGCCAACCTATAGCATGGGAAGACTCTTAACCAGCTATACATTGAACAGAGGGTTAGTTTCTTAAATACACGAAGAACTCAAAAAAAATCAAACATCAGAACAAACAAAACCAAACAACACACATACACACAACAACAACAGCCTGATTAAACATTGGGGCAAGGAACTAAACAGTTTATAAATGATGAAACACAAATGGCTGAGAAATACTTAAAGAAATTGTTCAACATCTTTAGCCATCAGGGAAATGCAAATTAAAACTGCTTTGAGATTTCATCTTTCCCTAGTCAGCGTGGCTGAGACCCAAAAAACAAATGATGACAAATGCTGGTCGGATGTAGGGAGAAAGGAGCACTTATTCACTGCTAGTAGGAATGCAAAACTACTTCAACCATTATGGAAATCACCGTGGAGATTCCTCAAAAAGCTAAAAATAGATCTCCCACACGATCTAGTCATATCATCGTTGGGCATATACCCAAAGTACTCAGTATCCTACTACAGAGATACCTGTTTATCTATGTTCAATGCTGTCCTATTCACAATAACCAGGAAATGGAAACAATCTAGATGCCCATCAACTAATGAATGGATCATCAAAGTATGGTACATTTGCACAGTGGAAGAATATTATTCAGCTGCTAAGAAAAACAAAATTATGAAATTCATAGGTAAATGGATGGAACTGGAAACATTCATTGTTGAGTAGGTGTATCCTCTGAGACAGTCACTCCTCCCACCCAATCAGTCAGCTTCAACTGCATGAGGGGGAGGGTCTAGCGACAGATGCTGAGAACTCTGAGAAGTGCTGAGGACAATGGGAAAAAGGGGGAGAGTTGCCATCTGGGCCACAGCACGTGGGCCAAAGAGTAGCCGTGATGTGAAAACAGGGCCCAAGGGCAATCATGCCTTTGTAAGTAAGCCCTTCCTGGATGTCATAAACTAGACAAAAACCCCAAATAGACTGTATCCTGTTGGTTTTTCCAGTCCGCATGAGGATCCTAGAGAGTGCACGGTGTGTGTGTGTGTGTGTGTGTGTGTGTGAAGGGTGGCAATTTGGCACAACATTCACCTTAAATGAGCTTTGAATCTTTAGATAGATGTGTTTCAATTGGAAAATCCTTTGCGATCAGGAAATTAATAAGGGGTGATGGGGTGTGGTTCATGGGACAGGAGATAGAGTGCAGAGATATAAATGGAAAAAGGGAATAAAGGATAGGATGGGCTTAGTGGGGTGGGAATGGGAGGGTAGGGCAGAAGAGGGACTAAGAGGAGGGATAACTAACATGAAAGACTTTTTGGAAAAGTCATGTAGAAACCTCAACATATACATACATAATATTAAAAATGTTTAAATGTAGTTGCCCTACATTAGGGGTTGAATGGCCTTAATAAACTAGCAAATGCAAAGCCCAGTGGCAGGAATGAGCTCCCTATTCTGGAGTTACTGACCAGAGAGATCCCATGGATCCTCAGTTGATACTATTGCCATTGCTCTTGAATACCCACCAGAACTTGATGGTAAGACCCTCTTGCTGAAGACACTACATACCTGACTTATAGAACAAACAGGGAAAAAATAAAGCTGGTACTGACCTTGAAGCTACATCTCTGCTGGCTAGATTTCATAGTCGTAGAATGTATTATGTATGTTATTGACAGAGAAAGGTAATCATCAGTGTCATTTAGCTCTGAGCCCTGCAAGCTACAGTAACAACTGGCTTGGCATAATATGTCCAATGCTTTAATAGTGGTACAAATATTATGGGAGAAGCCAACCACCTTCTAATTTGACTTAAGACCCACTTAACATATACTTCTTGATGGCAGCACTATTAACAATATTTAAGATGTGGGAGATACATAAATGTTCATCAAGTAACAGAAGGAGAAAATTTTAGAGAGAGACCAATGTTGTATCATCACACTCACGTGAGATTTTAAAAATTGTGGTTTCCAGAGCCAAGAAAGTGGGAACTATTGAGTTGGTAATCAATGGGTCTTACATTTCAGGTAAACAAGATAAATATGTAACTCCTGGAGAGCTCTGCAACACTGTGCCTTCTGAGTGAGAGGCAGTGACAACATATTGTATATTTGGAAATTAATTGAGCATGTAAATCTTATATCAAATGAGTTTACCACAGTGCAATAAACAGACAACATGGAATGAAAGATGGTGTATAATTTATTAAGGATTTATGGAGGCTGCATACATTTTGGGAGACAGTTCAAAGTGACAGGAAGGAGGGAGTAAAGTGTGAAGTTCACTGTAAAATAACGTGATTATGAGGATGCATGAAACGATGACATTTGTAATGAAAGTGCTTTCCTAAGTTATATGGAGGAGGGGAAAGCTTAGAATTTAAGCTGAAGCTAAATTTCATGTCTATTATTGAAGAAGCTGGTCTGAGATCTGCAAGACCAGGAAGAGAGAAAATAAGAACTCTGCATTCCCTCAAGGCCATCCATGTGTTAAAATAAAAATTGATAGTCAGAATTTCTGACAATAGCTTAACGGTTTTCACTGAAAGAAGCAAATTTGTGACAGTTGTGCAGATGTTTGTCTGCTGAGGAGCTGATCAGTAGCAGCTGGGCTGGCAGCGGGGTGTGTAGCAGCAACTGGTCCCACAGGTTGGTTTACAGCAGGTGGTCTTGCAGCAGGTGGTTTTTCAGCAAGTTGGTTGGCAGCAGGGTTGGCAGCAGGATGTGCTGCAGCAGCTGGGGATGCAGCAGGGTTGGCAGCAGGTGGGAACACAGCAGGTTGGGGGGCAGCAGGGCTGGAAGCAGCTGGACTCACAGCAGCTGGGCTGGCAGCAGGGTGTGCAGCAGCAGCAGGTCTCACATATTGGTTTACAGCTGGTGGTCCTGCAGCAGGTGGTTTCACAGCAGTTTGAGGGACAACAGGGCTGGCAGTAGCTGGTCACACAGGCTGGCTTCCAGCAGGTGGTCCTGCAGCAGGTAGGCTGGCAGCAAGGGGAGCAGCAGGAGGTGGTCATGGTGTCAGATGTGGAGGGTGGGGTCCTGCTCACAGGCGAGTTTTCCGAAATATCATGACTTCTTTCCGTGTGAGCCTTTTATGCATCAGGTCACCTAGGTGTGGACCAATCAGAATTTTCCTTGTTGTTTACATCATTTTGCATGTTCAATTTTTGTTCATCAAGGAAGATACTGTTCCTTAATAACACTATTCTTTGAAAGTATTTAATTGCTTCTATTTGAGAGATATACACAGGAATTTTTTCAGATAAAATGAAGTGGTCACAACATCATCTTCATCATAGCTCTGAACATCATCTGGTCACGTGTTTGCTCCTGCTTGATTAGCAGTTCAGGACAGCTTTGTAATTTTTTTTCCTTTGTCTATATTTAGATTAGAAAGTAGCCTTGGAGATGGATGTGCTGGTGCTATCTTCATATTGATAGCCAAACACCCAGTTTCTTTTTTGTTTGTCCACAAAAGCCTGACTCCTAACTAATCAGGTATCTGTCCTTCTACCAGATCTACCCCTGTTGTCCCAGGTGTGTCAAATGCCCTTGGGAAAATGATGTTTGGTGGCTGTAGTTCTATGGGTTCATTTTTGAGTCCTAGATCCTATTCCATTTGTCTACCTGTTTGTATTTGTGCCAGTACCAGGTTGTTTTTAGCACTATTGCTCTTAGTGTAATTTGAGGTCAGGTAGTGTGATAACCCCTGCAGTGTTCTTTCTGCTTAGGATCACTGTGGATATGTCATTTTTTTGTGTTTTCATATACATTTTTGGATTTTTTTGTTTGATTTTAGTTTTGTGAAAAATGTCATTGGAATTTTGATGGGATTTGTACTGAATCTATAAATTATTATTGGTAATTTAACAATTTTCACATTATTAATTCTGCCAGTCCAGGAGCGAGGAAGGTCTCTATATCATGTGGTATCTGCTTTAAGTTTTCTCTTTAGTGTCCTATGGTGTTTTATTGTATATGTCTCTCATATCCTTGACGAAGTTTATTCCTAGGTACCTAATTTCTGGCAGGAGCTATTGTGAATAGAATCTTTCTCCTTCCTTCCTTCCTTCCTTCCTTCCTTCCTTCCTTCCTTCCTTCCTTCCTTCCTTCGACAGGGTCTTCCTGTAATCCCAGCTGGCTTGCAACTGGCTATGTAGACCAGACTGGCCTTGACCTCACAGAGATCTGCCTGACAGCTGTAGCAATCAGGGAAATGCAAATTATATCAACTTTGACATTTCATCTTACTCTAGTCAGAATGGCTAAGACCCAAAAACCAAAACCAAACTCAAAACCCCAAACCCCCAATAAATGATGACAAATGCTGTGAAGATGTGGGGAAAGGGGGACATTTATCAACTACTAGTGGGAGTGTACACTGCTTTAACCATTATGGAAATCAGTGTGGAATTTCTTGAAAACCTAAAACAGATCTTCCACATGGCCTATCTATTCTGCTTTCAGGCATACACCCAAAGAACTCTATCCTATGATGGAGATACCTTCTCATCCATGTTCACTGATGCTCTATTCATAATATCCAGGAAATGTAAACAACCTAGATGTCCATCACCTCATGAATGGATAATCAAAGTATGATACATTTACACAATGGGGAAATAGTATTCAGCTGTCATTGAAAAGGAAAGTATGAAATTCATAGGCAAACGGATGATACTGAAACATTCATCCAAAGTGGGGTAACCCAGACCTAGAAAGACAAATGTCGTATTTTCTTTCTCATAAGTGGAAGCTAGCTTTGAATCTCTAGAAGGTGTGTTTCAAATGGAAAATTCAAAGAGTTCAGGAACCTGATAAAGTGCCATGGGGCCTGCTTCATGGGAGGGGAAATAGAATGCAGCAATATAAATGGTAAAGTAAGGGAGTAATGGATAGGACTGATTTAATGGGGTGGGGAATGGGAGGATAGGGCAGAAGGAGAAGTAAGAGGAAGAACAACTAACACTAAAGACATTTAAAAAAGGTCACGTAGAAACCTACTATGAAAACTGCTCTCAGCACACACACACACCACACACACACAATATAAAAAGACTTTAAATGTAGTTAGCCTATAACAGGTGTTCAGTGGCCTTAATGAAGTAGCAAGTACAAAACCTAAGGCCAGGAATGGACTTCCTCTTTGGAGCTGTTCATCAGAGAGATTCCCAACAATTCTCAAATGATACTGGTCATTGCCACTGTACTTGTTTCCCGCCAGATGTTGGCAGTAAGACTGTATTGGTGAAGGCACTACCTGCCTGAGATGCAGAACAAGCAAGGAGAAATCAAGCTGGTACTGACCTGGAAGCCTCATTTCTGCTGGCTAACTTTCATGGTATTAGAATATGCTATGTACATTATTGGCAGAGAAAGGTGACCCAGCTATGAGCCCTGCAAGCCACAAGAACTGGCTTGGCAAAATATGCCCATGGTACAATATTGGTATGAGTAGTATGGGAGTAACCAACATTTTCCTCTTGGGTTTAAGGCTCACTTAACATATCCTTCTTGAAGGTAGCACCTTTAACAATATTTAAGATGTCAAATGTCATCAAGTAACAAAATAGGGGAAGAAAATTTTAAGGAAGGACTAATGTTATACCATTTTACTCATATGAAATCTGTAAAATAGTGGTTTCCTGTGAAGAAGAAGAAGAGGAAAATATTGACTTGGTAATCAATGGACCTTACATTTCAGGTATGCAGGATAGGTATGTAACTCCCAGATACTGGTTCTGTAACATTGTGCCTTCTATGTATGAGACAATGGCAACATATTGTACACTTGGAAATTGGTCAAACATGTACATCTCATATGAAATGTCCCACATGTGAGTCCAAGTGCTTACAGTCACCTGCTTTTTGATCAAGGGCCCCCAAATGCAAATTGGATTTAAACATTTTCAACAAATGGTACTTGTCAACCTGGGTAGGTACATACAGAAGAATGAAACTGGATCCCTGTCTCTCACTCTACACAGCATCAATTCCAAATGCATCAAGTACCTCAACATAAGGCCTGATAACCCTAAATCTGATAGAGAAGAAAGTAGGGAATATACGGGAACTTACATGTAAAAAAGGCTATGTGACCAGGATTCTGATGGTAGCCATTAGGCCCAACAATTGATAAACTGGACCTCAGAAAACTAGAAAGCTTCTGTAGAGCAGGACACTCTCATTTGAGAGAAGACACAACATACAGCCTGGGAAAAATCTTGACCAGCTCCGCATCTGACAGAGGCTTAGTATCGAGACTATACAAAGAATGGAAAGAACCGAAGATTAAAAAAATCAACAAACAATCCCATTAAAAATTGGGACGAGGAACTAAATAATGAGTTTGTTAATGATGAAACACAAACGACTGAGAAATACTTAGAAAATTGTTCATATCTTTTGCCATCAGGGAAATGCAAATTAAAGTGACTTTGAGATTTCACATTACCCTAGTCAGAATGGCTAAGACCAAAACAAAACAAAACAAAACAAAACACCAAAAAAATTGATGACAAATGCTGGTAAGGATGTGGGAAAGAGAACACTTATTCACTTCCAGTGGGCGTGCAAACTGCTTCAGTCTTTATGGAGATCAGTGTGGAGGTTCCTCAAAAAGCTGAAAATAGATTTCCCACATTATACAATCAGACCACTCTTGTGCATATACTCAAAGGACTCTGCATTCTAGGGCTGGAGAGATGACTCGGTGGCTAAGAGGACTGGCTGCTCATGTAGAAGACCTGGATTTGAATCCCAGCACCCACATAGCAGCTAACAACCTTCCATAACTCCAGTTACAGGGGATCCAATGACCCCTTCTGTCCTCTGTGGGCACTGTATGACATGGGTGCACTTACACACATGTAGGCACTATACTCACTCATAAAATAAAAATAAATAAATAAATTTTAAAAGGACTTTGTATTGTATACAGGTATACCTGTTAAACCATGTTCACTGCTGCCCTATTCACAGTAACCAGGAAATGGAAACAATCTAGATGCTCATCAACTGGTGAATGGATAATCAAAGTATAGTACATTAACACAGTGGAGAATTATTACCATCTGTTATGAAACACAAAATTATGAAATCAATAGGTGAATGGATGGAACTGGAAACATTCATTTTAGGTGAGGTGACCCAGAAAGACAAATAGCATATGTCCTCTTTCATAAGTGGATCATAGCTTTTTCATAGCTTTGATATGTGTGTTTCAATGGCAAATCTGTAGAGGTCAGGAAACTAATAAGGTACTGTGGGGGGATGGTTCACAACAGAGGAGAGAGAATGCAGTGATATAAATGGGATAGGAGAATTATGAATAGGACAGGTTTAATGGCATGGAGAATGGGTGGGCAGGGTAGAAGAGGGACTGAGGGAGGGATTCGTAACACTAAAGGCGTTTTGAAAGAGTTGTGTAAAAACCTACTGTGGAAGCTTCTCTCAACATATACATCCACAATATAAAAAGAGTTTAAACATAGTCCTCCTAAAGCAGAGGTTCGATGACGTTCATAGACTAGCAAGTACAAAATTCAATGCCAGGAATGGACTCCCTCTTTTGGAGTTGTTGAACGGAAGATCTCAAAGTACTTCAAATGATACTGGCTTTTGTCATTGAACTTGGTTACTATCAGAACGTGATGGTAAGACCCTATCGCTGAAGACTCTACATACCTGAGACACTGAACAAACAAGGAGAAATCAAGCTGGAACTGATCTGGATGATCTCTGCTGGCTAAATTTCATAGTGCTAGAATGCGCTATGTATGTTACTAACAGGGAAAGGCAGTCCAGTTTTGAGCCTTGCAAGCTACAACTGGCTTGGCAAACTATACCCAATGGTACAGTAGTGGCGTGCATATTATGGGAGTAACCAACCACTTTTTAATTGGATTTAAGGCCCACTTAACATATCCTTGATAGAAGTACTATTAAAAATATTTAAGGACTACTATCCTCAGGCCTCTTGGGGTAAGTCTATAGCACAGCTCTCTGCGCCGGG